AAAAGGAATCTGGGATTAAAGTTATAAAGCTGTGGTGTTCTGTAAGCTTGCTGGAGATTGATCTGCATGTGTCAGTCTCCATAATACAAGTTTACGGCACACCACAGCTTTATAACTTGAATCACACTCCTCGTTTCATTAAATTGAGAAAGAGCTTCGGATGAAAAGTGATACATCTTCAGTTACAAATAAAGTCCAGTTTTTTATTTATGTATTTTTTTTGGTTTTATCTGTAATGAGTACTGAAAAACGTAACCATAATACAGAATGTCCATGTGTTGTAAATGAACATTGCAGTGGAGTTAAAAAGGTGTAGGACTTGTGTAATCTACGTTTACAATCATCCTCATTCAGGAGGTTTTCAGTCATTGCATGTCAAACACCTCGGCCATGATGTCCATCTTGTGGATCCAGCAGCTTCTGTGTCTTTTTCACCCAAGGTCAAAAATTCTCTCCACGACTTTCACTGTGGTACAAAAGAGCACTAACTTAATATTACTTAACAGCACTTCAATGATGAAGATAATTTGCGACAGCTTAATTTAAAGAGCTGCGTCGTAAGCATAAACTCTGAAAGAGTTGTTAAATATCAAATCAAATGTAGGTTATTATGTAATGTACGTAATATATATATATATATATACATATATACATACATATATATATATATATATATATATATACATACATATATACAAATCAAATTACAAAAAGACTATTAATCCCAGAGGGAAATTAAATGTAATTCATCATCCTGGTTTCATTAAAGAGTTGTTCTAGATGCTGATGGCTGTGGGCAGGAAGGATCTCTTGTAGTGTCTGTCTTACAAGGGATCTGAAGAAGTCTCTGGCTGAAGACATATATATATATATATATATAAATATTAAAATAGATTAATGTATATATGCATAAACAAATATAAAGTTCTTGTTGTAAGTTTTGGTTCTTTGTTAAAAACAAAAATTAAGGAGTATACAGTTTTTCTAAAACTACAGCCACTAAAAAACGCAGCATATGTGATAGAAGCACAGCAGCAGTGTTTGTTTTGCCATTTTTACACGAACCTGGTAATAAGGCATGTCTGTACATTAAAAAAACAAGAATAATTAAAGCTGCAAGCAGCGTTGAAGGCCCTCGCAGCGAAGCGCCGCTGCGGCCTTATGGCGACCGCGGGAACTGCAGCGACCCTTCCCGGTCGCCATCGAGAATGCTCACGCTACCGTCACGCGCCCGTTCTCCGGAGTGCGCATTCGCCAAACCTTTGACATAAGCTGCGACCGCATATGTACCTATTGTAATAATGTAGGGGGCGCACTTGAGTCAAATATTAAACAACAACACCACTGTGTCCATAAGTCCTCACTAGTCAAGCACCAAAAATCTGGTGCAGATCGGACGATATATCACTGAGATATAACAGTTTGAATTATCTAGGGGGCGCACGTGAGTCAAATATTAAACAACAACACCACTGCGTCCATAAGTCCTCACTAGTCAAGCACCAAAAATCTGATGCAGATCGGACAATATATCACTGAGCTATAACAGTTTGATTTACCTAGGGGGCGCACTTGAGTCAAAAGTAAAACAACAATACCATTGTGTGTTTAAGTGCTCACTAATCACACACCAAAAATCTGGTCCAGATCGGATGACACATGACTGAGATATAACAGTTTGAATAATCTAGGGGGCGCCCTTGAGTCAAATATTAAACAGCAAAACTAAAATGTCCATCAGCTCTCAGTAATGATGCACCCAAAATCTGGTCCAGATCGGATGACATATCACTGAGATATAACAGTTTGAATAATCTAGGGGGCGCACTTGAGTCAAATTTTAAACAACACTAACAATGTGTTTAGACATGGTCACACATTATGCCATAAAAATTTGGTGTAGATCGGATGATATATCATTGAGATATAACTGTTACAAGATTGTAGGGGGCGCTATAGAGTCAAAATTTAAAAAACTATACTACTGTGTCCACCAGGGCTAAATAATAATACACCATAAATTTGGTGCAGATCGGCTGATATATCACTGAGACAAAACAGTTTGAATAATGTAGGGGGCGCCCTTGAGTCAAATATTAAACAACAAAACTAAAATGTCCATCAGTTCTCAGTAATGACGCACCCAAAATCTGGTTCAGATCGGATGTTGTATCACTGAGATATAACTGTAAGAAGAATGTAGGTGGCGCTGTGGAGGCTCTTGGCCACTTATCATGGAAACCTGTTCAGAGGTGGATAATGATCAATCATAGTGATTTTGGTTCATCTGGGTTCAAATCTGTGCAATTTAGAGCCAAACGTATTGCAACGGCGTCACTTTTTAATTCGCCATGGCGCCACGCCCACATTCTCCAGCTATAACTCTTTTGTTGTTTAAATCAAGTCAGACCATCTTATCTGTCTTCTAACAGAGGATCATCCTGATAATGTGAAGGGTGTCAAAGAAGGACCATTCCAAGCAAAAAAAGTCACTTCCTGTTCTGAGGGGGCGGGGCTTTGATGACGTCACAATATGACCTCAGGGTATCGTCGGGCATGGGAGAGGGATGACTCATGCCAAATTTGGTGCAAATCTGTCATTCAAGTTGAAAGTTATAACGTTTGGAAATTTATGGCGTGAAGCTCAACTTTGAGGCCTGGCCACGCCCCTTTAACAAAACGAAACCGAAAGCTTTTGATAACTTTTACTCTCCAATGTCTTAAGGGCCTAATAACCAAGTTTTAAGTCAATCCTTCAAAATCCCTAGGAGGAGTTCGTTAAAATTCGCCGTTAAAAACGCCCAAAAATTAACCTTTGACCCAAAATGGCCGACTTCCTGTTGGTTTTGGACCGGAGCTCCAAGAGACTTTTTCATAGGTCCTGAGAAGATACACATGTTCACCGAGTTTCAGATTTATCGGTCGAAAAATGGCTCGGGGCAGAGGTTTTAAAATATTCTAGGGGGCGCTAGAGAGGCTATTGTGCAATCATCATGGTTTCCTGTTCAAGGGGCAGGCAATGATCGATCATAGTGATTTTCATGAACCTCGGATCAAATCTGTGGAATTTAGAGCCAAACGTATTGTAACGGCGTCACTTCTGACTTCTCCACGCCGCCACGCCCACATCCTCCAGGGGAAACGCTTTGCGCTTCAAAGCAAGTCAGACCAACTTGTTATCTGCCTTCTAACACAGGATCATCCTGATTGGGTCAAGAGTGTCAGGGAGGGAGCATTCCAAGCAAAAAAAGTCACTTCCTGTTCTGAGGGGGCGGGGCTTTGATGACGTCAAAATTTGACCTCAGGGTATCGTCGGTCATGGGACAGGGATGACTCGTGCCAAATTTGGTACAATTCTGTTTTTCAACGTGAAAGTTGTAGCGTTTGGAAATTTTTGGCGTGAAGCATAATTTTGAGGTCCGGCCCCGCCCCCTCAACATGCGTCAATTTGCACCGTTTTGATAACTTTTGGTCCCCCATGCCTACTGAGCAAAATGGCGAAGGTTTGAAACCGATTGAGCGAAATCCCTAAGAGGAGTTCGTTCAAATTCACCGTGTACGAAAAGTGAAAAACGGCCAAAATTGACCCTTTGACCCAAAATGGCCGACTTCCTGTTGGGTTTAAGGCATACCTCCAAGAGACTTTTTTTCATGATTCGGTGGGTTCTACATATGTACCAAATTTCAGCTCTCTAGGACTTACCAGTTGTCATATCTCACGTTAGGGGGCGCTGTAGAGCAGTTTGGCCACGCCCACTTTTGGTTCCATTATCATACTACTATTTCTCGCGGGGGACAATTTTGGGTAAAGTTTGGCTAGGTTTCAAATATGCTAACCCCTCCAAATAAGCGCTTAAACTTGGAAAAGAATAAGAAGAAGAAAAAGAAGAAGAAGAATAATAAGAAACGACACAATTACAATAGGCCTTCGCAGCGCTTTGCTGCTCGGGCCTAATTATTAATCCATGTTTATTTTCAAATCAACACTTTAACGTTCACTTGTATGTAAGGAAGGCTGGGGAGGTAAAAAAAGATTAAGGGGTGGAATTAGGATAAGTTACAGCTCATGAGGGACTCCATCAGAGCATCTCTGACACCTCGGCCCTGCTCTCCATCTTGTGGGACAGAGACCAGGATGGGCTGTGCGGCTGGTTCTGCTTCAAGTTCACGGAGGTCATCCATTTTGGTTGTGTGTTGTTTTCCAGCTCTTCTTCTAATACATGTTAGTGGTGCTTAGAAAAGAGCTTAATGTAGCACTACCGCCACCAGCTGGTAAGGTGCGTTGATATTAATAATCCGCCCACTAGAGGTGAACAATCCGCCCACTAAACGGGAACTATAGGCAAAGTGGAGACACAAAAATAGAGGTCCCACTAGAACCGGACACAACAGGCTACAACAAGAACCAGACCTGTGGATACCAGGCTATAGAGAATCTGTGGGATATTGTGAAGAGAAAGTTGAGAGACGCAAGACCCAACACTCTGGATGAGCTTACGGCCGCTATTGAAGCATCCTGGGCCTCCATAACACCTCAGCAGTGCCACAGGCTGATTGCCTCCATGCCACGCCGCATGGAAGCAGTCATTCATGCAAAAGGATTCCTGACCAAGTATTGAGTGCATAACTGAACATGATTATTTGAAGGTTGGCGTTTTTTGTATCAAAAACACTTGTCTTTCATTGGTGGGATGAAATATGCTAATTTTTTGGGACAGGCATTTTGGGTTTTCATGAGCTGTATGCCATAATCATCAGTATTAAAACGATTAAAGACCTGAAATATTTCAGTTGGTGTGCAATGAATCTGAAATATATGAAAGTTTCATTTTTATCATTACATTATGGAAAATAATGACCTTTATCACAATATGCTAATTTTTTGAGAAGGACCTGTATCTGTGTGTGTATATTTATTTATTTATTTATATCTAAGCATAATTTTGAGCTGTTCTCATGCGCTGTTCCGCTATCGTTAAACTTCGTTAAACTTTCATGTTCTATGGTGTAAAAGGTCTAAAGATTTCATCACTGGGTTCTGCACCTACCTCCCCCATGGTGGGGTCATCAGCCTTATAGCCATCCAGCTTTTCCTGAAGCATCTGGGCCAAAACAGCACAGTCCTTGTAGTCTCTGAGCCAACACACACAATGATGCAGAGGACAATTCACCTATTAGTTTGAAACAAAACAAGAAAACTTCAAAACCCATCAGTTTAATTTTAGCCTCAAAATGTGATTGGAGAGGTGAGATTTGTTCTGAACATCTAATGTGGTCCAGACTGGTCAGCACTACAAAAAGTCTTTGAAATCTGACTTTTATTATGACCATCTACCATCTTCTCCAAGATTTTAGAAAAAACGGGAAGTTTTGAGACTGGTCTGAAATTTGAGCAGGATGAAAAATTCAATTTAATTCAGTTTATTTATATAGAACCAAGTCACAACTGAAGTCATCTCAGTGCACTGAACAGAAACATTCATATAAAAAAATAATAATTTAACATTATCTGAGGAGCAGACTGCTTTGAGTTTAACGCCAAACGTTTAGCTCCTTCAGGAGCTATGACTTCTGGTATTGGTGCAACTTTAGCTGTTTGAAACATTTAGCCTTTCCTGTTAATTTTTTCTCTTTAAAAACAAATTGAGCTTATTTTCCATCCTTCAAATCTTTAGATCTGTTTACAACCTTTTACTTCTCCTTTCACATTTTGTTCTGCTTCAGCTTCTTTCAGCTTCCTTGTACAAATTCAAATTTTTTTCAGCTACTTTCAGCTACTTTCAGATTCTTTCTGCGAACTACATTTTTTGTGCTTCTTCTAACCTCTTTCTACTAATTTCAGTTTATTTCTCCAATTTTTAGCTTTTTCTTCTATTTAAGATACTATTTACCAGTAGCTTTTTATGTTAATTTTAGCTTTTTCAACTAATTTCACATTTTTTGCACTCATTTCAACTTTTTTCTGCCTAATTCAGCAAAAATGTGCTCTCTCCACTTCATTTTGATAATTTTAATTTCATTCTGCTTTTAGAGCTTCTTCTTCTTGTTGTTGTTTTATTGGCGGTTGGCAAACAACTGAAGGAAGCATTTCCACCACCACCTGGTAAAGAGTGTGGACTACATGACCAAAAAAAACCAACCTCTCTTTCCTTTTATATCCTATTATACAACCTACACTGTTTTAGAAAATAAAATATAGCTTGATAGCCTCTGTTTCCTGAATCTTTCTGCAATAAATCAACAATGTCTAGTTTCATTTTCATTTTACTAAGATGCCTAAGCAATTTTTTTCTTTGAACATGATATCTCCTGCAATGCAAAATAATGTGTTCTATGGTTTCCTCTTCTCCACTCTCACATTTCCCTGTCTGATGTTTCCGACTGGGAAATGTGTCGTGAAATAATTGTTTCTTCTCTCCTGTTTCTTTCTGTTCTTCTCCTTTCTCCAATTTTCCTTTGGATTTTATAAAACCACTGGCCTTTCCTTTCTTCCTCCCATAATTTTTGCCACTTTTCTTTCATTTTTTTTGTTTTATTATACCCTTTATTTCTGTTATACTAAACCTAACATTAATATCAATCACGTCCCGACTAGTGCTCTCCTTAGCCATCCTGTCTGCCTTTTCATTCCCCATAAAGCCGTGATTTGCTGGAACCCATATAAAGTTTACTGTAATCCCCATCATGTTGATCCTATAGAGTGTTTGTTGTATTTCAATTACAAAGTAATATATCTGGTCTACTATCTGACTGGTTGTGTTGCGAACTGGACAATGATGAACTAGAATCTGAGCAAATGATTGATTTTAATGGTCTTACCTCTTTTACCCACTGAACTGCTAAAAGTAAAGCAAGCATTTCTCCTATATAAACCGATACTCCATCACTAACCCTTTTTCCTACTTTAATATGAAATTGTGGTACAATGAACGCTATCCCAATTTTATTAGTTGTATTTTTAGATGCGTCTGTGTATATATGTACATAATTATAATACTGGTTAATGTATTCTTGTACTGTATATTTATCCATAGTAAAAGATGTATTCTTGTTTTTTTTTTCTAATAATGTAAAATCTACTATTGCATCGGGAAGTACCCAAGGTGGTACTGTGGGTAATGGAACTTTCTGACATATATCTAGTAGGCATTTCTCCCATTTCAACCTGTAATGCTGCTGTTGAAGACATTTTAAAAGCACCTGTACATCTTCTTAGTGCCTGAGGCATTTCAGCTGCTGCTGCTGCTGCTGCTGTGTTTTCTTTTTCTCCCTGATTGGTTGGCAGCACTAATCATACTCACCTGCTACAGATGACTCATCTGCTCACTGGCTTTATAAGGATTCACTGTGGATCAAGACTTCACTGGAGAGAGGATTCAGGTCTCAGGAGTAGACTCAGGAAGTTGGTCTAAAGTTAAAAATACGAGGAAAAAGTCCATCTGGAGGAGAAGGTAGGAGCTGGACACAGTTGGCGGATTTGCATAAACTGAGCTCTGAATGCAAGATTATGGCTTCCTCATCAGGAGGAAATAGTGGAGATGAAATGGAGTGAACAATGGCAAATACAGCAAAAATGAAAAGAATTCAAAGGAAACGACAAGAAAGAGATAGGAGCTGGTCACAAGAAAGCGACTCAAGAATAGAAATCAGCAAAAAGTCTAAATCTAATCCCAGTCCAAGCAATCAAAAACAGGTGAAATCAATCAGGGAAGAGGAACTGAAAGTAATCATTGAATTTAAACAAGAAGGAAAATGTTTTCATCCGATTAAACTAACTAAAGGCATAGAGGAAAAAATAGGAGAAATCAAGTTAGCCAGATTAATAAACAATAGAAAAGTTCTCATTCATGCAATAAATAAAAAACAGCAGGAGAAAATATTGAAAATGACAACACTGATGGGAGAAGAAATTAAAAGATACATACCAGGTTCTAATATTAAACTAAAAGGGGTGATTTCAAGAGTTCCAGTAGAAATGACTGTAGAGGACATTAAACAAGAAATCAAAGGAGGAAAAGTAACAGGCGCAACAAGGATTAAAACCAAGAAAGATGGAATCATCAAAGAAACTATGTCGATTAAACTACAGTTTGAAAACTCGGTATCGGAATGTGTGCAGCTGGGTTATATAAATTTCAGGGTAAGAGAATACATTTCCAATCCAATAAGGTGCTATATATGCCAAAGAATGGGGCATGTTGCAAAAGAATGTAAAGGAAAAATAAGGTGTGCAAGATGTGGAGGTCCACATGAGTATGGTAAATG